AAGCCGGCCTTTGAGTATGAATACAATGTCCTGGTGCGTGACACCTCAGCTGTTCGGCCAGTTCCACGAGCTTCACTTCCGCGCAACACTGAATTAGTGCCTGGCAAAATGGTGTGCGTCCGCAAGGGCGGAACCGGTGCAAAACGTGCCCGCGCAGTCATATGCGGGAACATGGCCACACCCGGTGCAGACCCGCCGCCAGAAAACAGCCGAGGAGGGGCTTACGCCTCAGGCGCTGACGGCACTTTGATCAGAGCAGCAATACGCCAAGCTGCACACCAGGAGTGGCGGGTGAGCTCGCTAGATGTCAAATCGGCATTCTTACAGGCACCACGTCCCGTACCTGAAAATGCTCGACCAGTCGCTGTTGAACCTCCTCGCATCATGGTCCAGTTGGGCGTGGCGGCGGCAGACGAAGTGTGGTTGATAGACAAAGCCCTATACGGGTTCACAAGTTCGCCAGCACATTGGGCGGTTCACAGGGACTCCGTGTTGGCATCCATCCGTTGGCAACAACAACAAGATGAGTTCTTCCTCGAGGTGACGCGCGAGCGCAACTTGTGGAGGGTGATGAAGCAGGGATGTGCACAGCCGCAGGGGCTACTGTTGGTCTACGTTGACGACCTCCTAGTGCTCAGTGGGGAGGAGGTGCACCAGGCCCTGATCCGTGAAATTCAAAGCCACTGGCAAACGTCGGTGCCGGAGGAGGTGAACAACCAGCAGTGGGTCAGGTTTTGTGGCTATGAGATGAAGCGCTTCGAGGACCAGATCATGTTGGGACAGCCCTCCTATCTCCGGGACTTGATAACGCGGCGACAGGTTACTGGCAAGAGGTCCTCGCCTATGGCAAAAGACATGATGCCTCCTGAAGAACCTGACCAAGATGTAACTGTTGCTCACATCCGCGAGGCTCAGTCCACCGCGGGGGAGGTTTTGTGGATCGCCTTGAGGTCCAGGCCGGATTTAGTCCTATGCGGTGAGCATGCTGGGAAGGCAGGTAACCGAGAATCCAAGGTGGGCAGTCGCCTTAGGGGAGCAGATTCTGGAGTACCTCAACGAGACCCCCGAGCTCTACCTGTTCTATGGACCTTGCAGGTCGGGAGATCGAGGACCTGATGGCGACCTTCCCAAAAAGCGAAGCATGAACCTTGTGGAGATGTACAGTGATGTGTCGTTTGCTCCACAAGGTGGTCGAAGTGTTCAAGGCATCGCTGGTGCGCTCATCCAGTGGGAGACTTCCAGGCAAACCTGTATGGCTCTGTCAACCGCAGAGTCAGAGTTGTACTCCTACATCGAGGCGATCGCATTGGAATTCATGGCCTCTTGTTCATTTCTTGTGTTTTCTTGTCTGGTCCGTTGTTGCGACCCTTCATGGTCTGTTTGTTCCCGTGACGGCGTTCGCCGCAGGGCACACAAACGAGGTGGAGGTTGGGAGGAGTGTTCAAGTGACTTCAATTCATGTTGAATTCCCCTGTCGGAAAAATGTGAACACTCCCCCGGTCCCTGGCTCCCCGCAAAAACCCCACTACTCTTCACTACGTAGGCCATGCCAATCGCCAAAGATGCCACCAAAGCCACCCTTGTTGTTGTCGGCAAGCACGTCGCTGCAGCGCAACCAGCCATGCATAGTGCCAGCTTCGCCACCTTGGTCACTGCGTCCACCATCTTCGCCTTGTTCTTCGCCTCCGTCACGGCCTCCGTCACCTCCGCCACAACCTCCGTCTCGCGCGTTCCCCTTTCTGGAGCCTGAAAGTGAACGAAGCGCCTGAACCAACTCCATGCAGACGTTCTTGTCCACGATCGCCTTGGTGAACACGTCCGCGATGAGGCGCTTGCCGTCCAGGTGAAAGATGCGCCATGACCCTTCTTGTAGGCGTTCTTTGAGAACACTTGCACGCAGCCTCAAATGCCGCGTTCTCCAGGGACCATCTGGGTTTTGGATGATGCTGATGGCCGCCATATTGTCACCAAGGTAACCGCCTCCGGCATGTGGCCACTGATCTCCACCCACAAACCCTTGACCGGAGACAACCGACCCAAGGGTTCCAAACAGTAGCCTAGAGGCTCCCAGTTCAACCACCTTTGAGGTGGAAGCGTCCAGTGCTAGCCATGGCGTGTGGGGCCGCATTCAAATGCGGCTTCCAGCGGTCTTTCGAGGTGGCCGCGAATGGTTGGGACAAGATCAACAAGAAGAGGTGCACTACACGACCTCGCAGGTGACCCAGGCAGCGATGGACGAGGGCACGTATGATGTGACGCGGCCGCCCATCTTGGTCACCAGCGAAGGTCTGCGGGTACTACGCCCTGAGGAGGTGGACACGGAGACACAAACCATCCGCCTTTTCCCGAATGACAGGTTTTTGGAGAGGTCACCACCAGCGAAAGCACCACCGGTAAAGGGAAGTGGGGCTTCAGCGAGTTCTTCTTCGAGGCCAAGCCAGGCGGCGGCGCGTGGGCAAGCGGCGCTGACGGCTTCGAAGGCTGCGGGATCTTCCATGCAGGGGGTCTCCAAGTCTGGCTCCGTGGCGACAGGTGGACCAATGGCTCCACCTACCATGGAGAGGCGGCAACAAGCAGCCACAGATCGGCCTTGGAACAGGCCGGGCAAGGCTCCACCGACCATGCTGATGAGGCCTACTGGTGGCATGATGGATGACCAGGTGGAGTTTCTGGATTCCGTCTTTTGGACTCCGCAGGTGTTGGACGCCGTGCAGGACGTCATCGAGGAAGAGGCCCTCTTCTACAAGCCGGTTCACAAGTGGGACTACATCGACATGGATGGTGTCCGCTGGCTCATCAGGTACCATGGTGGCACCAGAGTGCAAAGGTTCCATCCGGAACATCGCAGCTGCCCTGAGGAGATCACAGATCTGGAGTTCATGCGGGTTACTTTCGCGTGGAAGGGGCAGGATTGGAACCGCAAGGTGCTGATCGACAGCGATTGGAGGCGAAGTGAGATCCAAGGCCCGGGAGGCTGGATCGGCTACTCACTCTTTTTGATCCGCTCCGGACCAAGGAGCATGTAGCGGCATAAAATACGCCGGGGGGAGTGCGAGTCAGTCCGCGCAAAACAAGAAGTGTACCAAGCACTCTTGAAGGCCCCTTCGAAACTTCGAAACCAGCCATTAACTTGGCAACGTTTGGCTCAAGAAAGAAAAGGTCCGAGTGAACTGCACTCACATGGACACAATTACGAAAGCCAGCCGATAGGCTAGGCTGGAGTTGTCGATGGGCGAACGAAGTGAGCATTAGGCGCTGTCGGGGGGTGGTCGCATAGCGGGCCAATCTGGTCGCCGGGTGGGGGAGAGCGGGAGAGCAAACAAAGAGTGCGTCCGAAAGGGAGTGAAAATGCATGTTCTATTTTTTTTTGGGGGGGTTGTGAAGCAAGTGATGTAATTGACGCCGAAGAGTGCATCATTAGCATCATGAGGGGCTCAGGAGGCAATTTAAGCAGTCTTCTACCAGGGGTGGGAGTTCATGTCGAGGACAGGAAAGGTTTTTAAATGGTGAAGAGGCCTAGTAGCCAGACGCAAGAGGGCACCCCGTATGGGGTGGGAGTTCATGTGGAAGACAGGCATAGTGGAGGAGGACGTGATAGGAAAAGGGGGACTGCAAGAAACGATGTGACGCGTTGAGGGGAGGAGAGGGAACAGAGTTTTGAGTTGGTTGGGGGTGCTCTTTTTATGGTGAAGAGGCCTGTTAACCAGACACAAAAGGGAACCCATATGGGGTGGGAGTTCATGTGGAGGGGCGTAGCGGGGTAGGAAAAGAGGTGGGGAGCTTACCATGAAGGGAGAAGTGCGTCGCTCAGCGAGCTGGAGAGAACCTGACCTCTAGAGGATAGGAGAGGGAAGGGGACGACGCGACAGGAAAAGAGGTCGGAAACACAGCAGGAAAGTGAGATGTGCGCCTCTCAACCCTCACTTTCTCGTGGTTAATAAGAGTGGAAGGGAACGTCAGCCAGGATGTTATCCGTTGAGCCGTTGAGGATAGGAGAGGGAAAAGAAGGCTGTCACGAGGAAAGGAAGGCGATGTGGTTTGGGGGTGCCCTTGTGATGGTACTGAATGCAAAAGGGCACTCTTCAGAGCTATCCCTGGGAGTTAGGCGGAAAGGGGGGACGCCGTGACAGGAGTAAAGGTCGGGAGCTCACCGGGAAAGTGAGAAGCCATCGATCCGCGCTTGGCGGCGCGCCGAGGTTCTGACTCCATCTACAAGACCAGACTAACAAACAGCAGCCAAGCCAATTCCTTCAGAGTGCCATTTTTTCAGCTTGAAAATGTCCTTGAAAGGGGCACCCCCCCGTACTATGTATTCTGCTTTCTGGTTTCTACCACCCGTCAGCGTGGCTACCATGTCGACTTCACCCCATAACAAAGCTACTCTTTGCCCGACTTGATCTTGGCTGTAACATCGGACCACCATCTACAGCACCATCTACAGGACAAGAATAACGAACAGCGTGCGAACGCCCGTCGATTCCTTAGGGGGTGCCCTTTCTCAGCCTGAAAACACCCTTAAGTCGAAGGAAAAAGCAGACCCCCCCAACCTATATCTTCTGCTTTCTTTTTCCAACAGCAGTAGACATCACGATTTCCCCATGACAATACGATCCACTCTTAACAGCGCACCAGGTTTATGAGTCCATCTACAAAACACGAGAAACAAACCGCAGACAAGTGCCCCCGAGTGACTTCGGTGTGCCCTTTTCTCTCTTCAAAACGCCCCTTCATCCAAAAGAAAAAGAGCACCCCAACCCCCCACCTGTGATGCGCTCTCGCGTTCACCCCCCATGACCATATTGATCTCTTCTTACGGAGGCTGGCTTTCGTCCCCTCCCTTCTCAGGTACTCCAAAGCTTGTTTTACTTCTAGGGTGGAGGCCATCACTGTTAGGTTGGAGGCCATCGCTATTATATAGGTTGGAGGCCATTGCTATTACAAAACGCTGGAACGGAACATGGTACCACGTTCATACGGAGTCAAAAAACTGATTTGCCAAGGCCATCGATTCATGAACTTCCTCAGCCCGAGAACTTTGACACCAGCTACTACAATTGGGCGGAGCAATGGGAGCAAAGCAGACAAAGCCAAGGCAAGTAAGATGGGGATTTCAAGACAGGATCAAACATCAATATTCTTATATGTTGCCTAGTGCACGATCTATTTTTGGCATATTGCTTTGATCCTTCTAGGCTTGACATTCTGTATAAGAAGAAATCACAGGCTTCTCCAAGTTGCTTTGGTCAGTGATCTTTCTTTGGGCAGGTACTGATATTCCGCTAGTGGCACCTGCAGGGCTGCCAGCAGCCACTAATGCTGAGAGGCATATACCATCACAAACTTGCACGAATTGGCTCTTTTGTGGACGTGCGATGGACTTTCTGTAGAATGGTCACGAATGGTAGACCCCTGTCACAGTGTTAGTAGCAAGGTTGCTAGGGGTAACAATAGATAAGGCTGATGAGGATGAGGTAAGGATGAGGAAGGAAGAGCAACATCATGATGAAGATATGATCACGCCCATGACGCGCAGAGACAGTCATTCTCTAAACTCGAAACCATATTCTTTCCTGCACCTCCCGTGCCAAGGATGCACGAAATGTACCAGTGTACCAGCAAGTGCAACAGCACAGATTTTGCTCCACAAAGGAAATGTTATATATTACCACTGTGTTGGAAACTCCGAAACTCCATGCTCACCTCGTGCTCAGGAGGGACCTCTTGTTTGGTCAGGTTTCTAATTCGACTGATTGTTTTCTTGAAGAAGTCTACAGTCAGTTCTGGATATCACTACATTCTATCGGACATTATTACCAGTTGAGCCACCCTCAAAACCGCAGTGCAGGCTTGAACTGCTGTCCATCCTGCAATGTGGAACGCCCAAAAGTCAATCCCATTGGAGAATGTCCTTCACCGCCTGTTCCTTCACCGAGATGTTTGCAGTTCAAAACTGGTTTTCCAAACAGGAAGGCACCTCCCTCTCACTCTGTGCCTCCCTCTCCCGTCGATGTGCGGCCGGTACGCTGCTCCTTGTTTGGTCCTTCTTCTTTCGGGCTCTACGCCAGGAGTAGTTTGACTCCCTGAAACAAGGTTTTGCTTCATATACATTTGCCAAAGATTTTTCCACCAGTATGGCTGAGGTATGCCAAGAACGCAGCAAAAGCCAACTCTGTCCACCCCTTCATTGAATACGTCGATTGTTATGCTCTTCCATGCCATGACTCGGAGTCCACGGGACTCGTGTCTCACCATTACTTTGCCTCTGCACTGTTGGACATGGACATCATGGTCATTCCTTGCATGATATCATGTCTCATTGGTCTGCTTCAGGCTGCTCTACAGGTAAAGTGACTTGCTAATTTTGTCTGTATATAATATATACATATGTGTTTTGCAGCTCTTGCTGGTCTTTATTGCTTCACGGGTCTAAGGCTGAGGTGTATGTAGTGAGAGGCAGAAGTCAGGTGACCTCTGTTGTATATAATTTGATTGCAGGCAAGGCGGCAAGACGCGCTTAATGAAACTGTCGGGTGTATCAATGGTCCCTGCAGACGTGCAAACCTTTTTGGACGACATGATAGTCGCTGTCTTTAGCTGCCGGCTTGGCATCTCTTTGAGGTCTTGACCTTCACAGCTTCAAGTCTTTTTTTTGTGAAGTACAAACACCTCCTCGTAGAACAACACCTGATGGACAAAGAAGGACTATCAGCATCCCTTCAGGGCTTTCCTGAGTTGCAGGGCTTCTGCACCCCTCAGCAGGTCATCCGCTGCCATTCCTACACCGCCGCAGCGGCCGCCACCTGTGAACATGCAACGCGCTGTGTCATCCCCTCCACCCTTACCATCAATGGCAAGGCAGCGGTCTGCGGGTGGCGGTGACGGCGTGTGTTATGTCTTTCGGCGAAGAAGACATACAGTAGTACATATTTTGATATTTTGTTGGATCAAGACTTAAAGGATGATTTGTCTTGACAATAGGAGAGGCAATAGCAGAGGCAACAGGCCTCTTTTGAAATCAGGCGGGATGGCTCAACAGATCAGCAACTGGTGGTACAAGTTGAGGAGACAGAGTGACTTGGCACTTTGAAGCTTCTATTGAACTGCACTAACTGCTGACTGCTGACTCCTGGTTGTTAGACCAGAGGCTGTTTCAGTGCTTTGGGTTTGCAAGGGAGCAAGAGTGAGCCGCTCTCCGATCTCAAAACCAGGAAGTGCGAACTGAGGCATGTGGTTCTGACAAGGCCACACTTCCTGAGAAAGACTGCGCAAATGCAGGATGATGCAGCCATCGAGGAGATATGGCCTTGACAGAGAAAGATTACGTTGACAGTTTGGATTTTGTCTCCGCCTCCATTGCTTGCACAGGAGCTAACCACAGTGGAGGTGCAAAGCCCATTGATGCAATGTTGACAGCATTTCTATATAGATGTGTTGGAAGTGTGCCAGCGTAGTGTGGCTGTGGATGAGGAGCCAATTACGTTGCACGTGCAACGCATCAATGGCACTCCGTTGGCAAAGTTCAGGCCTTAAGGGACAGCTTCATATTGCATCAAAAGGCTCCTTTGCAGATTCTTTGTCAAAAAGGGAAGCGGCAGGCGGTGGGCTCTCGTGGGTCTCTTTCAAGGATCACGTCTGATGGGAAGGAGACAGTTGCTGAGCTCATCAACTCAATCAAAGAGGCTGGTAGCCCTGCGAAGCTACTTCTTTGGTTGCAGGGGAGCTTCTGCAGTCTTGGGACATTTTGCCAGGTAGCTGGGTCCAGCCTCAATATAACTCTCACGACCGACATCAAGGTGCTTGTATCACTCATACATGCCAGATAGCAGAAACAAAGACTTGAGCGCAGACATATGATATATATATGTATATGATGTAAATATACACATATGTATATGATGTACAGTAATTGTACATACTGTACACATAGTGATGCTTGTGGAATTGAAAAACACTGCCATTCATATTGACTTGCGACACAGCAAGGCCCTTGCGTCCTGTTGTTGCCCTGTCACGTTTCACTTGTGCTGCAGGTGCTGCGTCCGGAGCAAACTTTGCAGGAGAACGGCCTGTACGATGGGAGCGTGGCAGCTCCCTTAAGCAGGGTTTTGTTTTGGTTCGGTTTGTTCCTTGATTGCATGGATGGATGGATGAACGGAATGGACGGATCGATGGATCTATCGAACAGACAAACAACATGTGCAAGTTTTTTCCAAGTGTAGTAGCGTCCTTGCTCGTAGTAGCGATGCCAGGAGCCCCTAGTAGCGTCCTTGTTCCTAGTAGCGATGCCCTTTGCTACTAGTAGCGTCCTTGTTCCTAGTGAAGGAGCTTTTGTAACTGAGTGATGTTACGGCAGCAGAAGCGCCCGATCATAGAGCAACTTCTGAGGTCACGGCCATTAGACATCCAGAGCCAATCCCTCATGTTTTCACTTGCTAGTCGAACGTGTTTGAAGACAACCAATATAAGCATGCCCAAAACACTCCACAAAAATCAGTTGCTCCAATGGAGACTTGATTTACAGTTGCTTTAAACGTGACCTTCCAACGCATTGGATGCTATTGATACAGCGGTTGGAGGTTATTTGCTTTTGACTCTGGGTACTTTGACGGGGCTCAGTCTGGCAGAGTCCAGGCTTTTTGTGGCCGCAGCTTTTGATGATGGTACTGCAGCTGTATGGAGTTGCAAGCTGAGCTCTGTTTTTTTTTCCAGTCCGGCTTTATTTGTTGCTGTTTGTTCATTAGTCGCATATTATATATGACCTGAACCGTTCCCTTTTGTTTTGACAAAGGCATTCCAGGCATGTTCTGAATCTTGAGGTGTGGAGTCTGGCAAGTGCGAGAGGACTGACTAACTCTTGACCGACCGCACACCGTGGCCGACGTAGACATTAGATTGCTGGGGTCTGGGTGTTGGATGGGCAGGCTACGTTTGATTCCTAACCACTTTGTAGCGCTACGTTCTCGGATCAATGACCCACTCAGTCACTCCCTGACCACCTGAAATGCTCCGAAACTCAAGCTTGTATGGCAGACCGCTTCAGTCGAACCTTGAGTCCTGAGTGGTCCGGAGTATCTAGTAGCCGCCCAAAATATAAGACTGCGGAATTGTCTCGAGTAATCTAAAGTAGAGCTGCATGATGGCGAGACTCAAACAGCTTGGAACGATATCCAGAGAAGCCCAGAGTGGTGGGATAGCCCAGAGAAGTTACCTCGGCAGGCCACTTCAAGCCCCAAAAACCAGCTTGCATGGTTCCAGACTACAGGGAGTAGTAGCTTTGAGTCATGAGAAGCAAGGCAGCAACTTAGGTGACTAGTTTCGAGTGACGACAGCTGGTTGGGCAGATACAACCCGACAGCTCAAAATGGCTGTGAGTCACTGTGAGTCGCCCAAGAATAGTCCAGACTAGAAGTTCAGGAAAAACATGTCTTGGACTTGCCCTCAATAGTCAGCGCAGAGTAGAACCGGCTGACTACCAGGCCCGAGTTAAACTCCTTGACTAGCCCAGAGTCAGACAAGTCAAACAGCTCAGAGTCAACTAGAGTCAGACAGAGAGGAGGGTAGAACTCCAAAACAACCTGAGAGTTTCTTGTCCTGAGAGAAACGAGCATAGTTGAAGCTTTGAGCCGGCCAATTAGCTCTCTCCCCACAAGACCTGTTCGGCCCAAAGAAAAACAAAAAGACAAAAGTCTTTCGGAGCCCACAGGAACTTCGAGTGTCGCTATGGAGCTGTGAAGTCTTGCACTTTGGCCCAGCTCGGAGACCTGGTGAGTCGTTGGAATTTGCATTTTGCAAGGTCCTTTTCAAGAGGTTTCCTAGCAAAAGGAACATCTTGAAGGACACCAACAGCAGCAGCAGCAGCAGCAGCAGCAGCAGCTGCTGCTGCTGCTGCTGCTGCTGCTGCTGCTGCGTTCTCACATACGCTCCAAGAGGTCCGGTTGCGCCATTAAGGCATATGACAGCGTGGACTCATTGGAGTTCTTTTCTGCACTCAGGAGAAAACAAAGCCACCTGACAGCGCCCCAACCAAGGTGTTCAACTCTCGATCCATGCCAATTTGAGGTGGAGCGGAATGATGCATTCAAAATTGCCTGTCGATTGTTCCATCCCTCCTTTTGTTCATTCACTCGCGCCGGGGCATCATCCAGCAGCGCAACAGTCTCCAAGACAGTCAACGCGGCACACAAGCTAGCAAGGACGGATGCCGGAGCCATGATTGGTGAGATCCGGGAGGATGACCAATGTTGAAAGATTTCCCAATGACGCGCAGTCTCCGGCCAGCGGCCTTGCGCACGCACATCCTTCGCTCCGGCGGCCATGCAACAACGCAACCACCATAACAACTAAGAACAAAGACCAACATCAACCGCAACATCCACATCGACCAACACACACTTGCAGAAATGCGTACTGATGTGAATGCGGTGCCACACGCCGGCCTGAGTTAAACAACCTGAGATACCAGGAGGACAAGTAGCAAGTTAATGGCCTCGCTTTTAGGTTGGAGGCCATCGCAAGGAAGTTGGAGGCCGTCGCTAGTAGGTGGTAGGTGGTATGCACAAGCAAAACAAAAGTGACAAGTAGTAAGTTAAAGGCCATCGCTTTTTGGTTGGAGGCCATCGCAAGGAAGTTGGGGGCCAACTCCTGAGGTTGGAGGCCGTCGCTAGTAGGTGGTAGGTAGTATGCGCAAGCAAAACAAAAGTGACAAGTAGTAGGTTAAAGGCCATCGCTTTTAGGTTGGAAGCCATCGCAAGGAAGTTGGAGGCCAACGCCTAAGGTTGGAGGCCGTTGCTGGTAGGTGGTAGGTAGTATGCGCAAGCAAAACAATAGTAGCAAGTTAAGGGCCATTGCTTTTTGGTTGGAGGCCATTGCAAGGGAGCTGGAGACCAACGCCTAAGGTTGGAGGCCGTCGCTAGTAGGTGGTAGGTAGTATGCACAAGCAAAACAAAAGTGACAAGTAGCCAGTTAAAGGCCATCGCTTTTAGGTTGGAGGCCATCACAAGGAAGTTGGAGACCAACGCCTAAGGTTGGAGGCAGTCGCTAGTAGGTGGTAGGTAGTATGCACGAGCAAAACAAAAGTGACAGCGAGCAGCTGGTCAAAAGTTTAAACAGCAGGTACGGAAGTTTGCGTCCAAACTTCCATCCAGTCGATTTCCATAGCTTCATTGGCGTGACTAGGAAATCGACCGTCGCGCCCCCCTGCTGTTAAAGGGCAACAATCCCAAAGGAACCTTGTGACTCCAAAGGTTACACACTTAGGATAGGGTGTACTGAACTGAAAGCGGTGCCACACGCCGGCCTAGGGTTCCATTTCCTAAGAGTACCAGTAAGGACCTTCGGAGCCTGGGGGTCTGCAAGAGGAAGTAGGGCCAAAGTCTCAAGAGCGAAAGCGACGATCAAGGCGACATGACAACGTGCGCGCATGACTGCCGAAGGTAGCTACCTGTGAGGTTCTGGGCTTAGCCTCACGCCATTCGGAAAAAAGGAAAATTGCAGGTACGCTGGGATGATCAGTCCCAGTATCACCAGGAAATCGAGAGTGTCTTCGTTGGTGGCAGACTCTCGTTCCTGCTGCCACCCCCTGCTGTGAAATAAAACAGAAAGGCAAACCTGAAAAATCCAAAAGGATCCCTATGATTCCAAGGGTTACACACACACGCCTCCCCGAAGGGAGGCAAGATTTTAAGCTCCACGCCAAAGGTGGGGTGAGATTTCAGTGAGGATGGTTGGTGCGGTTGCCAGCTGCACAGTAAAAGGCCCAGGCACCCCTGCGCGCGGTTATCCAGTAGGGTGTAAACCCTGGCGTAGGGAAGGGACAGGAAAGGTGTGTGGAGGCGCGGGAAGAGGAAGAACAAGAAACGGAAAAGAAGTGACCGTTTCTTGTAAACTGGAGGAAGGATGGTTGGTGCGGTTGCCAGCTGCACACTGAAAGGCCCAGGCACCCCTGCACGCTGTTATCCGGTAGGGTGTAGACCCCGGCGTAAGGAAGGGAAAGGAAAGGTTGAAGGCCTGTGTGTGGCAAGGTGTAGGCGGCGAGGCCGGTAGGAGAGAGCTGCATAGCGGCGGGAGGCGCAGGGAGAGGGAGGGGAGAGAGAGAGAGAGAGTGAGAGAGAGAGAGAGAGCGAGAGGGAGAGTGAGAGAAAGAGAGAGAGAGAGTGAGAGAGGTGCTCCCAGCTACGAGCCCAGCGTCCAAGGACACACCAAACGAGAAAAGGAATGAGGCGATGGTGTTCCCAGCTACCACTCAAACGTCCAAGGACACACCCGTCAAGAAAAGGAGAGAGAGCGAGAGAGAGAGAGAGGTGCTCCCAGCTACGAAACAAGCGTCCAGGGACACACCAAAGAGGAGCGGGGAGCGGAGAAGGAGGAATCAACTGAGATACTAAGGCTCCAACAGGTCCCAATGGACCTTAAACTTGCTTTGACCGCTGTGGTCACCTTGTGCCCTGCCGAAATGGCTGGCTGCTTTGACCGCTGCGGTCACGTACAGGCATAAGCCAACTTGGAATTCCAAAGATGAGACAAACATCCCACTTGGCGTAAGCCATCTGCTGTCCGCTCCGGACACGTACATCTCCAAAGCAGGGGAGATAACGACGTACCCCCGTTCAACGGGTCCACGGGAGGCACTCTGCGGGCTCATCCCGGGTTGGCACGAGGCCAAACACACTTAGGATAGGGTGTACTGAACTGAAAGCGGTGCCACACGCCGGCCTAGGGTTCCATTTCCTAAGAGTACCAGTAAGGACCTTCGGAGCCTGGGGGTCTGCAAGAGGAAGTAGCGACGATCAAGGCGACATGACAACGTGCGCGCATGACTGCCGAAGGTAGCTACCTGTGAGGTTCTGGGCTTAGCCTCATGCCATTCGGAAAAAAGGAAAATTGCAGGTACGCTGGGATGATCAGTCCCAGTATCACCAGGAAATCGAGAGTGTCTTCCTTGGTGGCAGACTCTCGTTCCTGCTGCCACCCCCTGCTGTGAAATAAAACAGAAAGGCAAACCTGAAAAATCCAAAAGGATCCCTATGATTCCAAGGGTTACACACACACACCTTGTGTGTGGCCTCCATCCTGCCCGGGAAGGAGGCACCCCCATCCTGCCCGGAAAGGGGGTTATGCGAAGCACATGTCCACGCAAAGGAGACAGATGAAAATGAGAAAGACGAGACAGACAAAAAGTGTGTGTGGTTGCCGATGAAGAAGAACCAAGTGAAGAGGGCCAACTGACGAGCCAAACCTCGTTGTAGCAAACCTGGGCCACCTGAACCTAGTTGTAAGTAGAATACGCGTCCGTGTATGTGTACAAGCTAAGGTCCGGACGAAAGTGCGCGCAAGAGAAGGAAAGGATGAGGATGAAGAGACATGAAGACAGAAAGACATGAAAGAAAAGAAGGGAAGACGTCTGTGGGGGCCAATGAAAGGGGAACCAAATGAAAGGGGACAAACCAATGACAGTCCAAACCTCATTGAAAAACCTGTTGCAAAGGCCTGGTTTGCTTGTAAGTACGCTACGCGCGAGAGAAGAGGGGGAAAAGAGGAGGAAGAGAAGAAAAGGAGAGAAAGGAAGAAGCAAAGGTCCTGACAGACTCCAACGAGTCTTGAACAATCTTCGGCTGCTGCGGCCACGTTCGCCGTGCCAAAATGGCTGGCAGCTTTGACCGCTACGGTCACGGGATGGCATGAGCCAGCTTGGAATTCAATAGTTCAGCAGGTCTTGGCAAATAACTTTGGCCGAAGCCTACTTCGCCCGCTCTGGGCACGTACATCTCCGGGCAGGGGAGATAAAGACAAACCCCAGTTCGACGGGTCCACAGGGGCCACTCTGCGGGGTCACCCTGGGTTGGCATGAAGCCAGGCACACTTATAGAAATGCGTACTGATGTGAATGCGGTGCCACACGCCGGCCTGAGTTAAAAACCTGAGATACCAGGAGGACAAGTAGCAAGTTAACGGCCATCGCTTTTGGGTTGGAGGCCATTGCAAGGAAGTTGGAGGCCAAAGCCTAAGGTTGGAGGCCGTCGCTAGTAGGTGGTAGGTAGAATGCACAAGCAAAACAAAAGTGACAAGTAGTAAGTTAAAAGGCCTAGGTTGGAGGCCATCACAAGGAAGTTGGGGGCCAACTCCTAAGGTTGGAGGCCGTCGCTAGTAGGTGGTAGGTAGTATGCACAAGCAAAACAAAAGTGACAAGTAGTAAATTAAAGGCCATCGCTTTTGGGTTGGAAGGCATCGCAAGGAAGTTGGAGGCCAACACCTAAGGTTGGAGGCCGTCGCTAGTAGATGGTAGGTAGTATGCACAAGCAAAACAGAATGACAAGTAGCAAGTTAAAGGCCATCGCTTTTAGGTTGGAGGCCATTGCAAGGAAGTTGGAGACCAACGCCTAAGGTTGGAGGCCGTCGCTAGTAGGTGGTAGGTAGTATGCACAAGCAAAACAAAAGTGACAGCGAGCAGCTGGTCAAAAGTTTAAACAGCAGGTACGGAAGTTTGCGTCCAGTCGATTTCCATAGCTTCATTGGCGTGACTAGGAAATCGACCGTCACGCCCCCTGCTGTTAAAGGGAAACAATCCAAAAGGAACCTTGTGACCCCAAAGGTTACACACACACATAGAGGAAACCTTCTTGTCTCTACCAATACATGCTTGCATGTAGCTTCAGCAGACTTTGGCAAGCAACAGTCTATCGGTCTCACACTGCTGTCAGCTTTCAGCTGGACCATGTTTACTGCGGGCCACATGTCACTGGCAGAAGCATGAGGACACCGCACTGAAGAATTGAATGACGTGACAGTGCTCAAAGGAGAGTTGAGCATTTTTGTGCTTAATGTTACAGATCATCATGTTGATCCCCTTACAAATTCTTGCTCAGTAGCATTTTCTAGTGACCGAGTCCTTGTTGCTCCGTCCTCAAAGTAAAAACTGCTGATTCATCACCTGGGTTAAGCTGCGCAGCTGTTTTTGGAGGGTCTTTCTTTTTGGATACCAACGTTCTGTTCTGTTTGCCCTTCAAGGTCCGGCTTGGTTTTGGTGCTTGGCATGGTGGATGCCAGCTTAGCATTTTCTTTGCCTTTGCAGCGATCATTTTCATGCGTTGAAAGCAGCCAGATCAGTTGTCTAGGAAACACAGGACGTCAAGGAGCAAGATTTTTTGTATTTGAGATCCCTTCAAAGCAGAGATTGAACTTTAGTGCCTTACAGCAACGTTGCTATGCACTCGTGTTGGCGGTGCAGCCTGAGGTGATCCAATCCCATGCAAGCATATGCACAAGCAAGTCGAACATAATTCAATATGTATACAGTATATGTATATTGAGTGAAAAAATTGGATCATCTCACAACTTAGGATGGAACGGTGCAACTTTGGAATGTTGTGACTGGGAAGTTCATGAGGCAAGAAGGGGCAACTGATCATGGCATTGTATGAAGCATGACTGATAGAAGTGCTTCCAGTGTTTGGCACTTGAAGGCAATTCAGCGGTCACATGGGGCCTATCTTCTCTGTGGTACCTCTGGCACGGAACTTTATCAAACCTCATTGGATTTTGCTCGAGTTGTGGCGTGAAGCCGCTAAGCCTCGCCTTCTATTTACTTATAGGTTTTGAGGGTACGAAGTGATGAGCTGAAAGGTAAGGCCCCATTTAAAGCATATCTTTTTAGACCCCCACACTTACAAGTAAGCTTTCCAATTCTCCAGCTTTGCTGGTCCTGCCAGGCAAGTTCCCCAAACGGCAAATTGCTCGCAACTGGATGCTTCGATGGGACTGGGACTTTGAACACTGAAAACCGCATGGTCTCGTGAACGTACCGCAAGCATCAAGATATTGTGTGTTGCTGCACAAACGTAAAGACTGAAGCGACAAAAGATGTCGCCTAGACTTCCGCAGCATGTACAGGACGTCCAAGTTGCTGAACATGGAGACTGGCCGGGTCGTTCGCGCTCTTCGGCTTGCAGATCAGAGTCACTATATCACGAAAGCGATCTCCGAAGGAGGTCAGCTGAAGTTCTAGTTTACGATTAGATGGGTCAAAATCGGATGGATCAATTGAAAAATCACTACAAACGCCCCCCCCCCACTTCGTGTGAAGTGAATCAATAGATCCCCTCCTCCCCCCCCTTAACGAATTGAAGCGGTATTGATTAGGCCCCCCCCCCAAGAGACACGACATCACAAACATCATCTCAGGGGATTATTTTCAAGGTGTTTTCACGATCGTCGTGTCGTCGTCATCGCTTTCGTTCCCCGCCTCTCAAGTTTTGAGTCAAGCAGCTTAAGAAATTTAGAGCGTCCTGAGTTGGGTAGGTACAAGACCTGTTTTGTTGCTGTTTCCAAGGTTTGTTCAGGGCATCGAGGCAGCATAAAGAGCTTGTGCTTCAGCGTTGATTCGTCCCCGCTGGCATGTGCTTTTGAGGTCTCTTGAAATGCACAATATGATGTGATTTGATGTGATTTGTTGATACCGCAGGCAGATGTGTTGTGAAGTAGGTGAGCTTTACTTACTATTTTTTTTACTGAGATGCAATGAGAGAAGCAGTGAGCCCTTTGTTCACATTGTTGGGACTTTCGACTTGCCAGGCGAACTTTGGCCACAGGGTCAGAGGAGGGTCTCGCATGGAACATTTTGAGAGACGTCAACTGAACCAGTGAAGCTAAGTTTCCCAAAAAATCTAGAAACCAAATCATTAGTGCGTGAGCTATCCTGCGTCCATAACTAGTAGCTTACTTGTAGCTTATAGCTACCTCTAGCTACCTAGCAGCCTACCCCCCCAAAAGAAGGGTCAACAAAAAACAGCAGTTTTGGAACTTCAGGACTGCAGTTTGAAGCTGTGGAAGGCTCAAACTTCTTGTTCTTGGCATGACACCTGCGTTGTTAGCATTTATTGCACATGAAAAGAACACCCTTACTGATTATTTCTTTGTTTGAGAGGATGTATGTACATCTGCAGTTTTTGCTGCATACTGTGGCAGGTTCTGGATAGACATGGTGAGCTGACCCTTCTTGCCGGCACACTCATCTCCAGAGCTGAACTACTCTTTAGTAGTCTGGAAACGGACACCGACAAACAATATATATATATATGTATATATATAGATGGTATGGTACCTATACATATATATATATATATATCTATCTCTCTATATATATGTATCTATATATCCCTTTTGTGAACTCAAGAGATCTTCACGTTTCATTGCTTGAATGAGCCACTGGTTGGTTATCCTAGGGCCACACAAGCACTGTGACGGCCATTTCCTTCTCCCACCACGGAAAGGCATGGCACGCCGGGGAACGGGGGGTTGGGAAGTGCAAGAAACATGAGGCTGACGCATCCATAAAGTCAGGGAAGGGAGTTACTAATGTGTGCCACGAACAATCACATTATTCCCAGCAACTTTTCACTGAGTGGTGCCAACTGCCAAGTTACTACAAGAGCTTCTTTTTCAGATGTTTTGCGGAGTTTGCCTAGATTTCCTGGGCAGACTTTGTCATTTGTGTCATTTGCAGACTTTATGCGACATTTCATGCTTCGATTTGCTCAGGCACTCGCAAGCGGTCGCAGCCCCAGCACTTTTCTGAGAATGCGACCGACCAACGCACAGACGTTCCGACAGGTGCTGAAAATGGGGAGGTCAATGCTTGGTCAGCAGTGTCCGGACGGTTGGTATTGAACTCAGCACTGGGACTGCGCAGTGAGGTTTTGATGCAAGGGCCACTCATGGCACATTGCCTTACCCTGTAGGTCTGGGAACTGCCTCAAGCAAGCTCTGCAGTGAAGTCTTTAGCGCTTGGGAACCCAGAGACCTTGACAGATCTGGCACTGGAGACCTGTTGAGCTCTTCTTGCTGCAGGATGTACAGAAAAAGATGAAGCATGACCTTTCATTTGCATGAGCTGATTTCTTGCATATGCTCTGATTCAAGTCTTTCGCTCATGCCAAGAGCAGATGATGGACCAAATCTTCAGGTTTTCGCGAGACGGTGTTTCACTTGCAGTGGGGTCGTTCGATGGTGAGATTACGCCGAGGGCTCAGAGCAAGACGACCGCTACCGCTACCAAGTTTCAATGCCTAGCTGGCCTCCTTCACCGCCAAAGCTTCTACGGAACAGGTACTGTATGTGAGCAACCACTTTTATTCATTCTTTACTAGTCTACTGGCATGCTCCATTTGTTTGTCCAACATCAGTATTCGCAGGTGAACGAGATAGGGCCCCCACATAAACGAGATACTTTGTTTTGATGACACTAAAGTAGTCTGAAAGGAGGCTGAACACGATACTGTGACAGGACCTCCTAGTCAAGTAGTCTAAACGCGATTGGGCCCCCACACAATAGATAGTGTATTTGAATTTAATACTGAATAAAAATGCCGCTGCTCATGTCATGTGAGAGCAAAACACATTGCAAGCTGTAATGGCGGTACTTTCCTTGACTATTCGAGTTTCGCGAGTCGAGCCAGAGTTGGCGCGGTAGTACAGCAGAAGGGGACAATTCTTTGTTTACTCTCCTCCTCCTCCTCCTCAAACTTCCCATTGTGCCGGCGCCTCGGGTTTCAAATCTGTGCCGCACCGATAGACCGATACACCGATATCCCCACCCACAGGATATCGGCGTATTGGCACGCCGGCACGCTGAAACTTCCATAAATGGGGGCCAAGAGTAGTTGCTATGATGGTGGTTTGATATGATTGTTTCCAGAAACACAACCACTGCGGAAAAGGGATCAAACACACTGTCCACTATTCCAGATGCTAGCATGCAACCACAACACTTGAAGTCATGTGCCTGCACAAAGCTCAGTTTGAGTTTCAGAATGATTTAGAGCCATATCAATAAAGGATGCTTGCTCTTTGCTTTCATGGCAAATGTCCCACCAATATGAGGGAAAACGGAAGGATCCTTGAGACAGCTGACTTGGAAGCAACTGACATGGCTTGGCTAGGTTCTTTAGCGCGTCAACCCGCACGCGCACCAGCAGAGTTCAGGTCCGGGATAGAAGCTGAAGTCGTGTTTCCAAATCTGCTGTACCATATCACGGACAAAAAAGGCAGTTTATTCGTTGCCAAGCGAAGTATCATAACTCCTGCCAGTGCTCGACAACTTCACCGACGAGATGTATGGGCTTCTCTCCAGCCCAGCTCTCAGACACGATGTATTTTGTATGTATATATAGATATATTTGTTTTTCTCACCCCTTTACCACATTTTATATTTTTTTGTCTTTTCTTGCACGCAGTCAAATGTTGGAATTCTGACGAAACCTGCCAAGCAAGTGTAGCACAAGCAGGGCAAAGGGACCGACTTCCCAAATCCTTGTTTTTCTTTCATTGTTTTCTGGGCATTTTCTATGGATGCTATGGAGTATGAGCTTGGGTACAAAAATTGTCTGAGTGAACTCTAAAGGGCAATGTTTCGGCATTCTCAGTTCTCAATTACAGCTTAGAGGTCTCGTGTGGGTCCTTTTGATATTCTTGTTGCAACATGTCTCTCCTCCTATTTCTATGTGACTGTCAATGTTGGCGTTGATGGATAATTCGACAGACCGCTAAACCAGTAGGAGTTATCTTCAAGCCACGCCATTTGAGCATCGTGGGAGGCAGCGCATTTGATGATTGTTGGAACTGAAGCTGGCGAGCTGAGAGTCTACGGTCGGTTTCTGAGACCCAGACTGGCAGTGGCTGATGCCGATTTGCATGAAGGGAGACCGGAGAATTGTGAGCGGGGTGAAAAGAGGTGGATGTAGGAGACTGGCGCCAGGTAGTGATGACGGAGCCAGCCGGAAAGCACTAGAGGCCCAGCAACCAAGCCTTTTACTTGTTTTGGGCGATGCACCCTGAGTACACACTGCTGTGGCCTGCTAGTATGGCTGATGAAAAGCAATATTTGGAGTGTGTGCAGGCATGCGCAATCCCGTCCATGGCCTCTTCAGTTGCTTCAGCCAGAGCGCATAGCTGTATGGCATAGCCTCGCATAACAAAGATCTCAACTCTTCTATGTGCCATCCACATCTCAAGGTGGCGGTATGCGGAGGTCCGGTGTGCATATCTCAGTTTTTGCTATTCCCAGTGAACGAACCTACAGCCATTTTCTGGCCGCTTCGGTCTGCACCCAGGCCGAAGAAACCCAAGGGGGCACGGCGTCGAAGTGATTTGGCAATTGACAGCGACAGCGCAGCAGAAGCGCACTGAGTCGAGCAAGACGATGGAGACTCAGAGAGGAAGCAGACGCCAGGCAAAAGCTTACCTTCCAAGGATGGATTGGTTCTCAGAGATTCGTCCCATTTACAATGACTTGTTGGGTTGAACTATGTACTCTCTGGGGCCGAAGCTTGTGCAAGGGCGTCAGCGCCAAAGTTGTTTGACTTACAATATGTACCGCAGTGATGCCCAGCAGGTAAAACCTGATGTGCGGGCCAGTCTGCCTAGCATTTGTTCTTTCCTGCCTTGTCCAAACAATCATCGTGCATGCCTCAAAGGCTGCAAGTTGCTTGGAACCTTTTCAGGTGTGCTTGGGGTGTCGCAAATCGACAAAGTGAGTGAGCTTTAGGGGGCAACAATGGGCAGCACCTGAAGACGGACATGCGGCGAAATAGTTAATAGTTGCAAAGACATTTGCACTTTTGCGGCACTGCAGAAAGATACTTGCCGGCATCCAAGGAATCCATAGCTGTTGTAGGGTTTGGGAGTTGTCAGTTTTTGGTGTTTGGCATTTGGAAGAATACTCGACTCTTCCTGTCAGGCATTGAGACATGCGGCCATCGGCCTCATTCTCATCGCTGCTTCCAAAACGAAGTTAAGATCATCATATATAGCTCTTTCTGACTTCGTTCTTGTGGAGCTCATTTTCGGACTCCATGAGCACCTTACCAAATAAATAAACACATTTGGACGGATTTGGATGGATTTATTGGTGGCCCTTCCGTAAGGCCAAAGGAGCGCCTCAGTCTGCCGGGTACCCAGAGTCAAGGGACAGAACTCCATCATCCTTTGATTCTTTCTTTGTGCCTGTTTGGTGCTTTTTTTCAGAGTTATATAGACAAGGGATTCCTTTTCGCTTCTGTGATTTTTAGTTTTGTTTTCCCGCCAGGAGCATTTTGCTTTGAACATTACTCGCATGAATGGCATTCCTCTTGCAAAGTTCGTGCCTCAGACTTCCGGAGCCTTTAAAGAGGCAGTTTAAAGCTGGAAGGCCATCTCTCGGAGACCCTTAAAGCATCTCAAATCTCCATTCCTGCATTGACTGAATCTCGTAGTGCCGCATAGTCCTGCTGAAAGAACTTCTCCGTCCAAGGATGAAAGTCCATTCCTTGCAAACGGTTGGAGAACTCATCATGGCCATCAAGACTGCGGTGGGGAAGTGAAAGCTTTACTTCCCGAAAGCTACTAATAGCTTCTTGTTACTAGTAGTAATGCACTTGTTACTACTAG